TTATCACAGCTTGTATTCCATAGGGACAGTTTCAAGAACTCAGAGTCTCTCTGATGCAATGAGGACCTAGAGGGAGGACTTTTGTGTGTGAAAGACAAATATAATGTTATCATTTTTAAAAACAGATTTTAAACTCCAGGTTAAAGAATCGTTTGCTTTTTTTCCCCTGCAAATCTTTTAAATGTGTATTCTCTTACGCTAATCACCTAAAGATACTGTATTTTCTACTATGAATATTTTCCCTTTCCTCTCAAAGTAGTAATCTTCCCTCTAAGGAGAAAACTAATTTTGAGGAGAAGAGGGCTATTAAAACTCTATCTGGGCCTGAGACAAAAGCTCTGATTCTGAGGTCAAATTTTTTCAAGTGTTTCCACTGTAGATATTTGCAATGTTAGAGTCTGGGATTGAGAAATTTACTTCGATTTCCTTGTTTTACAAGGGAGAAAACAGAGCCAGAGAAGGGAAGGGAAGTGACAAAGTCATACAGGGAGGAAGTATGAGGACCAGTATTTATAACCAGATCTAACCCTCAACCCATTGCTCCTTCAACGATGCCATGCTGCTTTTAGGCAAGCAAGGCTGAGATAAGTCACCTCTCTCATTAAATTATACTTGCTACTTTATATTAAGGACAGTAGAACTGTAGTCAGGAAGGACCTGATAGACAAGTACCTCGACTTTAGGAGACAGATTTCTTTTCTTTGCATTTAGTTAAAATGCTAGTCATCATTTTCCTGCATAAAACAGGCCCACATATGACTGGAGCCTCTCCCGTTTCTTTCTGTCATTTCTCCTGTTTAGACTCCCTGTGGCATGCCTATGTTGGTCCAACACTAGGTCAAATCAATCCAGTTCAAATCAAATAAGCATTTATTAAACACCTCCTATACGTTAGATCTTGTTTTTAAAAAAATGGAAAAAAAGAAAAGAAAAACATGAAAAATAGTACTTGTTTTCAATGATGGATTTTAATATCAAAAGTTAGAATTTTGCAAGTGTAGATGTGAGATATCCTGAGGCAAAGAGAAGAGGCCTAGTTTTTGGCCTAGACTCTCAAGACCACTCCTCAACATCTTGGTGAGTGGCTGCCACGTTCCTCAGGCCGTTCATCCATATTTAGTAAACATCTGGTGCGCAGGAGGAAGAGTTAGGTGCTAGTCAAAGAGACAGATGGGACCACTGTCCTATAGATGAAGACATCTCAGATACAAAGAAGACAGTAAACAAAAAGTACAAGGTGAGTGACGTCAGTCAGCCCACACCTACCACCAATGGTCCTAGGGCTCGGGAGACGTTGGAGGAGGAAGCACTGGAGTGGAGCCTTCACTTGAGAAGCTAAACAAGAAAAGTACTTGAATCGGAGTCCAGAAAACCGGGCTCGAATCTTGGCCCTGATACTCACTAACTGTATGACCTTGTGAAAATCACTTTCTTTACTTCCCTTGTTTCCTCAGTGCTAATAAAGGAATACTGCAGATGAGGAAATGGAGGACAACAAAAGTAAAATGACTTGCCCAAGGTCATACTGCCAGTAAGAGTCTGGGGCAGGCTTTGAACTTAGGTCTTGAGCAGCTCACAGTTGCCCTCATAAGAAAGGGAGGAAGAGAAGTGACCTTTGGCATTAGATTAGATGTTACCACTTGTAAAGAATGAGGAATGTCTGCTCTCCTGTAATTAGCCCAGGAAGCCAGGGTCTGGACTCATTCAGCACAAAGAGAACAACACTAAGACCAGGCAAGCCTAGCCCAGAGGGTCAGAGGGACAATCTGTCCCCGGAATTGGCTCCAAATGGCTCACAGAAACCAGGACACTTTCCTTTGTAGCAGGTGCACAGACATCTGCCTTTTCTTGGCACGTCCCCCGACGGCTCTGATCCCTGCTCAGGGCTCCCTGACTCTGGAGGCCCAGCTCCTGGCTGCTTTGAGAACCGCGGGACCTTCCAGACTACGTGCTCCATCCCCCTTGTTTTACAGAGAGGGAAGCTGAGGTCCACAGAGGTGATAATGAGCCTATTGGCTACTCCAGGTCACGGGACTAGCAATGAGCAGAAGCAAGGCCTGAACCCAGGTCTCCTGACTTCTAGTCCAGAGCTCTCTGTGCTCCCCATGCTGTCTCATGTCAACTGGTTTTTCCCACGTGAAGAAGAAAACAGTTTGACTAGAGTCTTTCCGCTGCCACAGACCTGGAGAAGGGCGATGGGGCAGGTGCCTGGATGTCTTACAAATGAGGCTGAATTCTGATTGCTGCTTCTGACCCTGCCAGGTTGTGTCTTTCAGCCTTTTTTTCCCCCCTTCATTCCTCATTAAAGAAGCAGGGTCAAGTGTCTACATTCAACCTTTTAGCTACATTATGTATAAAAATTCATCAGAATCTAAAAAGAGATGCATAATGCCTAGCAGTCCTCTCTTCCTATGGCACACACTGTGTTTGGCTGCAGAAAGAACTAAAAAGGGAAAAGTGAAAAAGAAAAGTAAGGACACAAGACAGTGGCATATTGTAAAGGAGGGTTTTCTCAGTTCCAAACTCAGGAAAATGCACAAAAGAGACTGAATGAAAGCTGGTGGAAACCACCTCATGCCTGCTGGAAGTTTTTTTCGTTGCTAACACCCTAGTACATGGCAAATAAGATGGCCACATTACCAGGGAGGTGGTAGCGCTGATTTGCTCCTGAGAAGAGAAAGTAGCCCCCCATCTTTAGAATCCTTTCATTTGACTGGGGTATGGAGGTGGTTTGCTATGGTTTAGCTGTTTTTCAGTCGTGTCCAACTCTTTATAACCCCATTTGGGGTTTTCTTGGCAGGGATACTGGAGAAGTTTGCCATTTCTTTCTCCACCTCACTTTACAGATGAAGAAATTAAGGCAAACAAAGTGAAGTGACTTGCCCAGGGTCACAGAGCTAGTAAGTGTCTGAGGCCAGATTTGAACTGGGGAAGATGAGTCTTCCTGACTCCAAGTACGGCACTCTGCACTATGGTGCCACCTAGCCACCCTGAAGAAATTAGTGATGCTTATTATCCTGGGGAAGCGAAGATTTCTGGGGGGTATGAACGGTGTTCTATAAATATTCAGAGGGTCATCACAGAGAATAGGGATCAGCCTAGTCCTGAAGAACAATGTTGGGAAGGTGCAAAGAGAGAGACACAAAGAGGTCTGACATAAAGAAACCCCCGATCATCAGAGCTGTCCAGAGGAGTGGGCTGCTTAGGAGGGCAGCTGCTTCCCTCAGCGGTGGAAAACTTGAGAAGCAAATAAGAGAGGACAACTTTCTCGTTCTGCTGTTCTAGGGATGCGCCTCTTAATTTGAAATAACAACAGGATGGCTCTAGGAGGTACAAGGAATCCCCCTTCTTTACCCTGACTCTGCTCTGATTGCTCGTGAGCTCTGCAGCACTTCAGAGGCACGGCCTCTCCTCACAGATAACCTTCCAGGATCCATCCCAGCTATCTTCCCTGCTGTCTCCCTCCTACCACCCTGCTTCTCCCACCTGGACCCATCCCCCTCTGCACGAGGCTTCCAGAAACTATGTGCATTCTGAACTGAAGCTCCTGTCCTTGGACCGAGTGTGAATTAGTGCAAATTCCCTTAGCCTGCTATATCTAGCTGTGCCTGCACCAGCCCATGTTTCATATTCCATCTACCCATCTGCCTTGGCCATCTTGACCCCAAGCCTCCACACCTACCACAGAGCCTAGCACCTAGTAAATACTTGTCGATTAACTGCCATCCACTGATGCTGGGCTGTTCTACTCCCCATTCTCCACCCCCCATTCTCCATTCCCACCTCTTGCTCTCAGAATGATAATGGACTGACTGTCCGACATCTCCATTCACCATTCCTCTGACTTCCTGGTCTAACACTCCTTTACCTGGCCAAGATTCATCTCCTATATGTTTTGTCTTTCCCTATTTGAATGCAAGCTGCCTGTGGTTAGGGACTGTTTCACTTTTGTACGTGCCCACAACCTGCAGAACCTAGTGCACAGTAGGTGGTTAATATGTTTTCATTTATTCATTTTACAGTATAGGATGCCCCCCTCCAGCAACTAGTTTTAACTGACGTTCAGCAGGTTGTCACTAAAAGTAAACAAAAGATGAACCAGGGTCTTTCTCTTTCTCTGTCTTCCCTTCTTTCCACAGAAATACAGCATAAACTGAATTTTCAGAATTTAGGAAGTAATTTATCAGTTTTATTTCAAATTATTCTGAAATCCAGGCCATTCACTCATATACTCTTTGCTTGTAAGTCCTCTCTCGCCTTTTTCTTTTCTAACACTAAGAGATCACACAAGCACACATGCTCATATATGAACAAATGCTTTATGTCTTACAAAGCACTTTCCTTGAAACTTCTGTCAAATAGGTAGTGCAGGCAATTCCCAAGCATCAATTTCGCATCTACTACGTACCAGGCACTACGGTCCCTGCTGGGGATGCAAGGACAAAAATGAAACAATTCCTACCCTCAAGGAGCTTACATTCTGTGGGGGGAAAGAATATACAGACACACGTAAGGATGCAGAGTAATATAAGGTTGTTTTAGGGAGCCCCAGGGGGTGAGGAGAGGATACCATAGCTGAGGAGGATCTAGAACAGTCTGATTGAGGAGGTGCATTTCAGATCAGGTTTGAAAGACAGGACTTGCAGCTAGATCTTTTGACTCTAAATCCTGGGTCTTTTCCACTACGTCGCTCGCTTCTTGATTTATTTACCCTGTTCCTACATTAGGTCCATAAGATCCTACGTTGGTTTTTTCAGCATTTTGATGAGTATTTCAATATCATTGGTTTGCCCTGCAAGCCTATGCATTTCTGACTTTAAAACCATGGTTCTGAGAAAGGTGCACAGGCATCACTAGGCTGACTGAGGGGTCTCTGATACCCAGAAAGGTAAGAAGCCCTGCCCTATTTAGGGTGCTTGTCCAGCCTTGTTTGTCTGATTCTAGCTCAAAACCACAGTAGAAACCTTTTTGTCAAAAGGCTGAAACAGAACACCACATACCGTCAGCTGGTGTATTAGAAGGTCCATTAGAAGGTGATCTTGTTGCTAAACAGAACATAAGCACAGTTTTCTGAACAGTTGCTGCAGGTGAGATTGTACACATTGATGGCATTGCTGAGAGACCTAAGAGAAAGAGAACATTTCATTTGATAAAGTTTAAGCAATTATTCTCCCAGCATCTTCACACCCAAAATCATGGTTACAAAACTAAGCCCCCAACGGCCAGTAAGTCTCTCTCTACATACCAATGACCACCCAGCACTCTGTTTGTGCCTCTTATGACTTATGACCACGACACGGGCGTGCCCCTGGCTGCTGTCTTCGAAGGAAAGTCTTTTAAGCTTAACTCACAATGTTAATGGTGGGCTTTCAACATTAAAAGTTGTTTCCATAGTGTTATATCTCCACTTGATGAGAAAGTGCATAATGGTAGGAACTCTTAAGCACCTAGTATAGGGCTCTACATACAGTAAGTGTTTAATAAATATCTTAAGGCTCTCTATATAGAAACATCTGCTGAATTGAACTGAACATCCAGAGTTTCAAAATGTTTAGGTGTGTACAAACAAAAAGGTATTTTCACCCAAAACAGTCAAGTGATCATTTGTACATCAACCAAATGACTGATTGATTACCTATTATTAGCTTAGATTTACCTTGGAAATAGAGAACAGGAACCTTAGCACTTAGGCAGTTAGGAAGCATAATGGATAGGCTTAGAGTTATGATAACCTGAGTTCAAATCCAGCCTCAGACACTTAGTAGCTTAGCTGTATGACCCTGGGTAAGTCACTTAATCTCTGTCTGCCTCAGTTTTCTCAACTGTAAAATAGGGATCATAATAGCACCTATCAGTATTGTTGTGAGTCACTTAACTTCTGTCTGCTTCAGTGTCCTCAACTGTAAAATGGGGATAATAATAGAACCAGGAGTGTTGCGAAGATCAAATGAGATTCTACTTGTGAAGCACTGAGCACAGTGCCTGGCACACAGCTACTATTGTTGTTGCTGAGCCTTCATTTTCTTAGATGTGCATTATATTTATTTATTTCTAAATGCATTATTCATTTATTTTTAGTTTTCAATATTCACTTCCCAAGATTTTACGTTCCAAATTTTTTCCCCATCTCCCCTGCTCACCCCAAGATGGCATGTAAATTGATATAGGCTCTACACATACATTTATATTGAACCTATTTTCATATTAGTCATGTTGTAAAGAAGAATTAGAATCAATGGCAGAAACCATGAGAAAGAAGACACAAACAAACAAACAAAAAGAGCAAATAACATGCTTCCATCTGCATTCAGACTCCATAGTTCTTTTTCTGAATGCGGGCAGCATTTTCCATCATGAGTCTTTTGGAATTGTCTTAGATTCCTGCATTGCTAAGAAGACATAAGTCTATCAAAGTTAGTCATCGCACAATGTAGCTGTTACTGTGTACAATATTTTCTTGGTTCTGCTCACTTCACTCAGCATCAGTTCACATAAGTCTTTCCAGGTTTTTCTGAAGTCTGCCTATTTATCATTTCTTATAGAATAATATTATTCCATTACATTCATGTACCATAACTTGTTCCGCCATTGTCCAACTGATGGACATCCTCTCAATTTCCAATTCTTTGCCACTATAAAAAGAGCTGCTATAAATATTTTTGTACATATGGGTCCTTTTCCTGTTTTTATGACCTCTTTGGGATACAGACTTAGAAGTGGTATTGCTGGGTCACTGGGTATACATAGTTTTATAGCCTGATCCTTCATTTTTAAAGAGGACTAACAACATTACAGGGTGTTGTCCTGACTTGTGTATGAACCAGATTTAAGTGAGGCAGAGCTATACAGTCATCAGCCTTGCTCTCTTCAGTGTCATCCAAGTCCAGTGGCAGGACAAAACTCAGGACGACTGGTGATGGCCCAGGATGCAGTGGACGACCTTGGTGTCTTTGATGTCTGACCATGCCCTAAACACTCCACAGCACCCGCTTCAGCAGCCTTCATAGCCATTGGAACAAATTGTTCTCATCTGCCCATTCCTCTGGGAAGTCTTCACATGCTTGGGGTAGATGCCCTGCTAACACCTACAGGTCTGAGGCCTGTTAGTTACCCTCAACCTGGTTTAACCTACCTGCTGAGGCAGTTTACCAGGCTGTGGCTGATGCTGGTCTTGCTACAGCTTCTTGGAGCCACAAGTGAGAGTTGGGTGAAAGGTAGATACACCCAAGGTGGACAAGCAGCCCTGAAAAGGGCTCAGCAAGCTCTCACACCCAAAGTGCTAGTCCTCCCTGAATACCTGATATACCCACATCACACATCAGGCACTTAGTAAACACTTATGTCCTCTCTGCTTCCCTTCCCCTATTTGTCCATTCCTGGCCTTCTAAGTCTGGCATTTAGATAGAAGGTAGAATAGGCAGAAGGGAGATGTAAGAATCAAACTGAAAGTATGTGGTGATGTGAAAAAAAAAGGGATGATGCGGAGAGCTTGGACAAGGTTTTTTGATTATTTTCTTTCCTATAAATATGGCTCAAGTTCACACATACACAGACCCCAAAGTCATGCTTCTTGATAAGAGCAGTGCCCTTGTTTGCATCTTTAAGGTCTAACTTAGAGAAAACCTTAACATCAATTTTTTCACATGTACAGTTAGGGAACTAGACCAAACAAGCTCCAAGATACCTGATGACCTTGGAGTAACTTAAGGCTCGACTCCTGATCTTCTAGGACTTGAGACTGACCAGTGCCAGGAGCCAAGCCAAGAAGAAAGCTGCAACAGACACCTATCACTTAGATCCACCAAGTAAATGGGGAGAAGCTAGCCCTCGCCTGTCCGGTAGAACCTGAATTCTACCTGCAGGACACACACTAAGTGTTCCTGCAAGGATGAAGACACTGCAGCTGAAGGAAATCAGTGGAAAGGGCCTGAATGAGAGAGCCACTGAGTGGATGTGGTCCTGGGCACTGCCTCCCGCTGGCAGAGTGCTTCCCACCCACCTCTCAGTCACTTCAGTTCCCTTCTCCATGGAATATGGGAGTGGATCGTGATCATTGTTCAGGTTACCTTCAGGTCTAACTTTCTGTGAAACTATATCTTGTCCTGGAGGCTCAAGGCCCACCCTGATAAATTCAGGTCCCTCAAAGAGCCTTGTTTACGGGGTGTGGAGTCACTGCCGAAGAAAGAGAATCACAAGAGACAGAGGAGCAGCAGCGGTTTTCAGGGTCCTATCAAAGCAGAACATTTTTTGAGAGCTTGCTCTGGTGCTACAAAGACTCCGGTTCACGATAATTAAATTGACCTTCCTTGATTCCTGCCTATCCAGTTTATCTTCTAGGTCTTAAGTAAGCCCTGATTTTAGCCCATGTGACCAAGCCTCCGATTACCTGCCTCCACGTCCAGAAACCTTTTCGCTTGTTGATTTGTTAAATGCTAACCCATCAGATGCGAAGTGCTGAGTGCTGAGGACACTCGGACTGAAATCAAACAGTCCTTGTCCTCAAGGAGCTTCCACTCTACCAGGCTCACTGCAGCCCCTCCTCAGGACAGAACAAAGCCAGGAGCAGCCAAGACATATTGTGATTTCCTACTACTATAACTTAGAGACAGCAATGCACAGAACCTCTCAAAAAGCCCCTTCTAAGGAAGCAGCATCTCAGATGATGGATTTAGAGCAGGAAGGAATGAGTCTTCAAGGTCATCTAGTATAGCCCACTCATTTTGTAGTTAAGGAAACTGAGGTCACAAAAGTAATAAGTGGCAGAGAGAACCTGAACCCAGATCCTCCTGCCTCCCTCCATGGTACCCCACAATGCTACACACTCTCTGGATAAAGAAATACAAACATTTTAGCTCTCGATGGGCAGGACGAAGGAAGAAAGTCTGTAATGAGCCCTAGCACTGGAACTGAACACGAAATCGGAATTACCCTAATTTTTAGTTCTTGGCTGTTTTGCCCCAAGCATCACCAAAAGAATTTACACAAGAGAATAAAATGTGCATTCACTGGAACTCATTCGGCCAATCAACTTGATCTGTTTTCCAGGAAATTTCTCCAGCTTTTCACCCGGGGAGTGGGATACTGGAAACCCACTAAATTCTACTGCTAACTGCTATGAGGAATGGCTTGTCATTTGAGAGGCGGCAGCAGCACGGCGGAGGGAACAAGTCCTAGATCTGGAGTCGAGAGACCTAGGCCAGCCTGCCTGCCCTGCTGCTCACTAGCTATGGAAGCCTGAGCAAGTGACGTACCATGGGGCTAACGGCACTTGCATAACCCACTTCACAGTATTATCTGGGGGAAGGAACCATGTTTAAACTCACAGGCTACAGAAATGCATCTTTAATCTTACAATAGTCTGGGTACTTGAGACATATTTTAGCCAGAGAGAAAAGCAATCTAGCATGGTGAAAAGACTGGTAGGTGATGAGATGAATCAGGAGAACTGGAGCCTAGAGGGGGCTCTCCTATGGTCACAGTGAAAACTGGGGCAAACCGTTTCATTTTCTCTGAGCTTTGGTTTCTCAGCTGTGAAATCACAGAGTTGGATTAAGGACTCTCGAAGCGTTCTTTCAGAATTGACAGTCTATGAATACAGGAGGAAATGCTCAGTGTAGCAAACCTTATTTTATATAGTAATCATGTTCCTCAAGGGTTCAATTTTTTAAAAAATGGATTTTAAATTCAGTAGGAAATCTAGTATGTAGAGGCATAGACTGAAAACATTTTTAAAAAGTGAAGACTCCTTTTTTTGAAGACAGTAAATAATTATCCTCTGATCTGTTTGGGGGGTTTTGAGTATGGTACAGTGGCTTTACTTAAAGTCAGGGCACGCCTGCACTCAAAAATGACTGTTTTAAATCAGTTTATGATCTCTTAAGCAGAAAACTTCTCATCTGCTTTTAGCTGTGAAATGTACCTTGACACTGTCTTGTACCTACAAACCTGTCATAAGGAAACAAACTTGTGATGGTTATTTTTCTCATGAGAAATGAAGTGGGGTGGGGAAGGGGAGGAAGGAGGGAAACAGTGACCTCAATGTCAGGAGAAACTTGGCCACTGAGAGAAACCTGTTCAAGAGACCACCTGTACTTAAAGACCACCTGTCAGAAAGCTCACTTTT